ATTTATTATTACACATCAGGACAAATGAAAAGACCAAGTTCATGTAAAAAGAAAAAAATACTGTATATAGTTTATATCAAATTTCACAAAAACTAGTACAGCTGAACTATTGAAACGTTGCTTCTCCTGTTTTGCAGGTGCATTTCATCGTGGATCTAATTAATGAGTATCTGCCCTCGATTGTTATGACCTTGGCCAACTTCGTCACACCCATTCTCTTCGCTGTGATCATCAACTACGAGGACTACTCACCTGCCTTTGAGATCCGCTTCACTCTCATGCGGTACAGCGGACTTCCAAACATCGACGTCACATCTTCCTCATGAAGTTAGCTTGAACAGCTACTGTCATTGTGTCTTTCTCTCCTCTTTTCTCTTTAGATGCGTCTTCATGCGGCTGACCAGTATTGCAGTTTTGCTGTACTCTCTCTGGTGTCAGATCATTGACTGCGATGGTCCCTCGTGTGAATGTGGTTACAATCACAAACTTTATTCTGTAAGTTTCTGGTGTTCTCACGAACCTCCCTTTAGCAGCACCTGTTGATGTTCACCTCTAAACTATGAGGACCAAAACTGACATAATTAGACTTACACTTACATTACACTTAAAATTCACCAATAAAAATAAAAAGGGGATTTTTACCTCATGTTTTATTATTTAATTGACCTTCGTATTTATATTTCCAGCTTAGTTCTAATAAATTACATGTTTTAGCTGATAATTTGAAATTTACTGCTTTAAGTATATATTGTTTGTGTCTCTTAAATGTTTATATTTATTTATTTTTATAATTTTTCCCATAAGTCTTTTTATTTCCATGTGTTTTTACATTTCTCTGTCTCCTGTTTTTTCATTATCTTGTGCAATTTTGTCACATTATGCAAATAAGGTGGGCGGCCCTTCTTGGGTCAGCTCCACTTCTATTGGTCAACAGACAGGAAGGAGCAGGATCCATGTGCAGATCTACTCTGCATGCTTGTGCTGCCTCAGTTTAGCTTAAAGTTTAAAGCTTAGATAAAAACAAAGGCAAGGAGGAAAACACTTAACTGTGCCTTTGTTTTTAACTTAACTAAACAGTAAAATTGAAATTATGTGCTAAAATATATAATTTATTAGAACTAAGCTGGGGAATAAATGTGAACGTCAATTAATTTATAACACATGAGGTAAAGTACCCCTTTTTATTTTAATTGGTGAATTTTAAGCATATTTATTTAAATTTCTGGTTTTATTTTTAATTATGCCAGTTTTGGTCCTCCATACAAAACATGTTATTATTATTTTTTTTATTAACGATGAATCTTATTTTTCTATCAACACAAATCTCTGTTCACACACTATCCTAACCTCTCAGAAACTAATCATGGTTCTGTAAAAATGACACTTTAGAGGTTAAAATARAAGACACTATAAGAAGCTTAATTTTTTTTATTTGTTTGGTTCTGCAGTGCTGGGAGAGTCGTGTGGGCCAGGAGATGTACAAACTCACCATCTTCGACCTCATCATTGTTGCTGCAGTCACCATCTTTGTGGAGTTTCCTCGAAAGTAAGAATCCTTCTCCCAAAAWAGAAGAAATAAAACCTTTTATTTCACAAAGGCTTGTAGCTCTCAGTGTGACATGTTAGAATTCTGAATAAATTGAAGACATTTCCTTCWGGTAAATTCCTCCACAGTCGTTTTTGTTGCCACGTTCTAACAGCTGTAATGCCCTGTCCTCCTCAGGATGCTTGTAAAATACTGCCAGTGTGGCCTGACCAAGTGGTGGGGGGAGCAAGAGTTTTCTATTCCTCAAAATGTCCTGGGAATAGTTTACGGTCAAACCATCTGCTGGATCGGCACTTTCTACTGCCCCCTTCTGCCYGCCATCTGCACCATCAAATACTTCTTCATCTTCTACATCAAAAAGGTTGGCTCTTTGTTGGAGCTATTGTTTTTTTTATTAAACATGTAGAAATCAGAAAGGATGTCGAAACTTAAAAATAAGTCCTCAGTTTTAGTTTTTCCTTTTATTTATTTTTATTTACTTATTTTTTAGGTATCGTTAATTCACAACTGCCGTCCAGCTACACGCTCGTTCCGAGCATCGAGCTCCACGTTCTTCTTCCTCGGGGTGTTGCTGATCGGCCTGAGTATGGCCTGCGTGCCAGTAACGATCAGTATAGCGCAGTGAGTCTCCTCATGTTTTAACTCATGGTTGAGAGGGGCCGGGGCTACGCATTACTGCAATGTTTGATTAAACCTTAAAGGAAAGTATCCACATAGTTGTGGGCTAGATCTGGACTCAAGCTAGCAGACTGCTGTGGGCCAGGTCTGGCAATGATGGTACTGTTTTTAAGGTGGCCATTTGGTGGCCCATGGACCACCTCTGGGCCCCCAAATGGCATTATTTGGGCCGAGCGTTAGCGCGCTGTGTGGGCCAGACAAATTTAGCTGATTGGCTAACCACATTAAAATATTTACACCGTTTTTTTTTAGGGTTTTTTGCTAAAAATGTGCATTTATTGTGTATTTTATAAATTTTTAAAACAAGAAGAATACAATACAAAAGTTAAAGTGCCCATAAACTGACGAGCTGAACGTTTTGGTTTCTRAAATGGCTAAAATGGCACAAAGTATGCAGAGAATTGCAAAATGATATGGAGAAACAATGCTGTGAATGCTAAATCCGTATTGACCCAATTCAACTTTATTTGTTTACATCTTTATTTCAAAAATTTCTGACTAAATTAGTAAAATGTTCTGGCTTCTGTTTAGGCTGGTACTAATTTAATCTTAATTTTTGTCCCAGGATCCACTGTTCCCAGGCTTGTGGACCGTTTGTTAACTACACCACCTCCTGGGAGGCGCTGCCAGCCGCGGTGTCGGAGCTTCCACGAGGAGTCCAAACTTTCTTCTACGCTCTCTCGTCRGAGACCTTCGCCGTCTCTATCTTTGTTGTTACATTGTCTGTGTTCACGCTGGGATTTTAAGATTCATTAAACCRTTTTCTTATTCTTTGTTTGGCTGTTAGGTAAAATGTTTCTCTCCTACAGCTTGGCCATGTTTTATGTGATTGCACTGGCTGGAGCTCACAAGAAAGTGATCAGCCAGCTAAGGGAGCAGCTCACCATGGTTTGTTTATTAGTTTCTCTGAGGAATCTGCTGATTTGACTTTGCCCATCACTACCATCACTGTGTCCTTTGGTTCCTCAGGAGGGAAAGGACAAACGCTTCCTGATCCAGAAGATGTTCCAGGCCCAGGAGAAATTAAAAACTGAATCCAGGCAGCGCAGCAGCCGGAGCCCCCGGAGCCCCTGCTACCACACCAGCTTTGCCTCCAATTTCCCTGCAGCGATGTGTCTGTCACACTCACCGCCAGCCTCCTCCACACAAGTGTGAAGGAAGGAGCAAACGTGACTGGAAAACAAATCCGTGTACAACACTGGAGCTAGATCAGTATTTTCTCTTTTTTGGTTTTTATTTTGAACACTAACACTTGTGCACCTCCGCAGACCTGCTAACAGCAGTGTCTCTAGACTTTTAAAAGTTTTTCTTTTAAAATCAGAATATTGTTGAACAATATCAGGACAGATATTAAGGTCAGTTTAGTGTTATTCTGTATTGTTTTTTTTTACTTTTGTTGTTTCCTTCTAAGAAGGCCTCTGTTTCTTCAAACTATTTGACTTGTTTGTAAAACTTGTTTTTAAATCTTGAGCACTTTTAAGCATTTTATTGCTGCCTTTTTTTCTACATCTACAATCTGTTTATAACAGTTTTTATGAATGCAAATTATTACAAAAGTCTTAACGTGCATTAAATGAATACTAATTGTTATAATGCACAACTTATAAGTTTGCATGTATTGTTATGAAAACATTTCTTAAATTTGAGACTTTTGTCACTTTTGCGTGATAGTTTTATTTGTACTGTTGTGGATTTATTTAGATTTGGGTGATAACTGTTTCACATTGCTGTGAACAGTTTTATTGTTTAAACCATTTTACACAAAAAAAATAAAGTTTTTATGTGTTTTGATGTAATTTGTTTTTTGTTGTCTTTTGATATTTGTCTGTGTAATTTGCTTAGTTTTGTGCTTTCTGTGGTGTGTTGGTTTTATTTTGTTTCACTTTAAATTTCTTCTTTTTATGAGGTATTTGTTTTATTGAAAAAAGATCTTTACAAATACAAATACAAAGAAGGAACAGGACAGAGTAACAAAGCATGTCAGTGGTATAGGCTTCTACAAAATACATTTTAATACAAAAAAACATTATGACAAATTAAATATATTCATTAATCTACAGCCTTGTATGTTTACAGCTTTCTTATAGTGTTAACATAACTTAATTACCTTAACCAAAAATATCGCCTTGCTGCTCAAAAGTGCTATATAAATAAATGTTACCTTATCAAAACAGGAAAGAAACAGTATGTAATTTTCCAAATATTATATTAAGATTTATTGTCAGTCTTCTGTTTAGATTAGTGTTCTTTCCATGAAAACCACAAATGATGTGCACATCATTTTTTGTATGTTTTGACTCTGTGTAGTTTCTTTAAATGTCCCTCCGCGCCGCCAGAGGGCGCTGCGGAGCTAACTCTCGGCTTCTCATTGACAGCTCAGCTGGGACGAAACCGGAAGCAGCGTGCGGTGTATGGTGGACAAGTCAGTCAAAATGTTGAAAATTACGATTAGGGCAGATTTGGGTTCTATGTGGATTTTGTTCGGATTAATATATTCTCAGATCCTGACCGTGTCCTCGGATGATATTGTGGTGGCGTGTGGCGGGTTTGTGAAGTCTGATGTTGAAATAAACTACTCCCTGATCGAGGTAAGGTAAACCTCCAGCTAGCTAGCTGCTAACTATTAGCCGGTTATGGTAGCGAAGCAAATGTTAGACTGAGCTGTTTTACTGAATGTCTGAATGACCAACTCGCTTTAATCACCACCTGATAATCTGTGAAACACAGTTTGCCCAGATTAATCTAGTTTTATTTGAATATTAAATGTAATTGTTCGTGCAGATAAAATTTACTGTAAACCTTTAACCCGTGTATGAGAGGAGGATTTATGGGCTCCTGTCTTAATCCCCTTCATTGAAGCCTTAAGAAGATTAAACACTTGCCTCAAAGTTGTAAAAATGCCTCATTTAGAATAGTTTTGTTTTTAATAACTCAATTTATTTGCCATAAAGCTGCTCATCAATGCCTTGCAAATGTAATATTTATGGTAATCTCAGCTAATCTCACTGCATGTGTGTCCTTTTTCATTTGCAGATTAAACTTTACACCAAACAAGGTTCACTAAAATATCAAACAGACTGCGCTCCCATTAATGGTTACTTCATGATCCCCCTCTATGATAAGGTATGAAAACCACTGGTGAGAACTGCTGAGTTAATTTTTCCCAATTGTGACTATAATCCAGTTTTTAATTTATTTCTTTTTACACAGGGGGATTTTGTTTTGAAGATTGAGCCGCCTCTGGGCTGGAGTTTTGGTAAAGCCACCCGTTGCAAAAACTAGCAATAAAATAGCATTATGATGAAGGTTTGTAATTTTTGTTTTGCGCTTGGATTGTCTCCAGAACCTACCAGTGTCGACCTGCATGTGGATGGAATCAGCGACATCTGCACCAAAGAAGAAGACATCAATTTTTTTTTCACAGGATTCTCAGTCTCAGGAACGGTGAGAATTAATTGTGTAACAGTGGAATTGATGGCATCACATCGACAGTAAACAACATGGAGGGAAACGGCAGGCCAGTAGTTGAATATTTGTGCTGCACACACAATCCTCAGGATCCAAATCCAGACTCTTACTTTAGCTTTCAAGCTTTGAAGCATTTCAAAGCTTCTTTTACATATCTCACAATCACTCACTGCATTCTGTTTCATTGATGCGAACAGGGTCAGGACCGTGCAGCGAGGTCTGAGGAGCTGTGTTTGCATGTCCTTCTGCAGGTTTTATCAAGCAATATTTTTCTGAGACACAGACACTGTCTGATAAGATTCTGATTTATTTTTCATGAGTGCATAAAGTAAATTATTTCATGTGAAACGATAAACGGTTGCAGCCTGGCTGTTTTCAGCATAAATCACTCTCCACAGGTGAAGCGTTTCTGATGCATTTCCAGTGTTTCTGTAAAGTTGTGTGTTGCGTGACTCGTGGTGTTCCTGTGTGTTGTGCAGGTTCTGAGTAAGGGCCACCCCCTGGGCCCCGCAGGAGTGGAAGTCAAACTGAGCCGAGCTGGATCAGAAGAGAAACTCCTGAGTGTCGTCACACAGCCGGGGGGGAAGTAAGTGACCCATAACTCTGAGTTTAATAAGGTTAAGGGCTGCAACTAATGATTTATTATTATAATCGATTAATTGTTGGATTATTATTTTTTTTATTAATCAATGAATTGGGAAAAAAACTTTTTAATTTCAACCTCGTTATTCCAAAGTAGATAAACTGGACTGACATAGCAAATTGCACAAAAAACTGGTTGCTGTTGGAGAATTCTGTTACTTTAATAGTAAAGAGGACCTATTGTGGGTTCCGTGAACAAGTTAGGATACATTTGATAAAAAAAAAAAAAAAAACATGTTCATGAAGCTCAGATAGTGAGTTTTCACCTTTTCAGTTCTGCCTGTTCTGAGCTCCCTTCAGTCCTTGGGTAAATCCTGCTGTGGGCTGGTAGAAGTTTCCAAAGTAGTCCATTGTGAAATTATTTTCAAAAACTACAACTTTCTTTGGCAATATTGCTAGAACATTAACATCAACAATAAAATCAAATAAAAATAAAATTAAGCCGCGCATCTCTGTTCTCCACGACTGTTGTAAAAACAGCAGCACTAATGTGGTCGTCCTGTGAAGAAGTGGGCGGAGTCTCCACTTGGGTTATCAGGTGAGGGGCTGGGCTCGCCTTGGCGTTGCTGCGGTATCTGGATTGTAACGTAACAATCTGCAGGTTTCTGAAACAGCTCATTTGCTGACACTAAAAACACAGTTTGTATGTTGCCTAAAAACAACTGTGAGTGTTTATTTGGCACCTGGACTGTTTCTGGAAGCAGTACAGACCCAAATGGAAGCAAAAAAAAAGCATGTAAAAAAGTGAATTTTGCAAAATAGGTCCCCTTTAAATTGTAATGCATAAATAAGTAAATATTTGTCAAACAGCTTCAGTAAAAAATGAATACACAAAAATATACACAAATGTGTGCTAAATGCCTGGAAGTCTAAATATTTTCTCTCCGAGAGCTTTAAAAATGTGTCCTAGACTGCAGTGTTTCCCAAAGTTGGGGTCGGGACCCAAAATGGGGTCCCGAAACATCAAGGTGGGGTCCTGAAAAGATTTTCTGAATTAGTTACATTTTTGCCTTAGTTGGTACAAAGGAGTGAGGTTAGTGTATTTAAAATGGATAAATGTAGTATAAAAAATTGTTACTACGCCCATGTTTTGTTGACCTGATACAAATGTTTATCATCCAAAAATAGTTGGGGCCACAGGTCCCTGCTACTTTTATTTTGTGGGTCAAAAGCTGAAAAGTTTGGGAACCACTGCACTTTGGTTCCCAAAGTTGGGCTTGGGACCCAATTAAGGGTCATGAAGCACCTTGGATAATCTCCAGAAATCAATTTAAAGGTTAATAAAATAATTGCTGATGTAATATTTTCTGTATAACTATTACAAAAACACAAAATAAGTATAAATAAGTATTTATGTTTGTGCACAAGCTGTTTAGATTGTCAGAAAGCCTGTGTTTTTAGGGTTATTAACAAAGTTCATGTACTCAGACCAGTAATATTTGGGGTCACAAGTTTTTGCCATGGATATTTTGTGGGTCAGAAGATAAAAAGTTTGGGAACCACTGTCCTAGAGGGCAGAGTGTAACCTGAAATAAAAGTGTGAACTATCCTAGTGAAGTCTTTATCTTTGACCGTGGACAGTCTCATGGACAGTCGTCTCGTGGACAGTCTCATGTCAGTGACGATCATGTTAAGAAGACTTTCAGTCAAGACAGCTAGGTTAAGACATGTGTCTTCACTCAGTTTGCTTCTGTCAGCAAATTAAAAATTAAAGCGCAATCATAAATTTATCATAAATTAGTTTTAAAATGGTCTCCAAACAATATTATTATTGTCTCTCGCAATAATTTCTGAGACAATTTATCGTCCAGCAGGACTTGTTATTGTGACAGGCCTACAGGTCAGTGCTGGCTGTAAACTCATCAGGATCAGCCCAATTAAAGATGGCTGCCACAGCTAATTAGCGTTAGCAGACACAAAAATGGTTATAGCTCAGTTTTTACAAACTTTGAGCTGAATTTATTGCAGTAGTCGATGACTCATTCCTCCTGATATAATATTCTGAAAACTAATGTGTTGTAAGATCTCACTATAATGTAATAACTATGTTATAAAGCAGGGGTTCTTAATCTTTTTGACCTCGGGGCCCAATTTGTTGAACATAAAGTGACACGAGGCCCAGTCACACATTACCAATTATGGATCAAAATGATAATTATTCTTCTCTAAATCTTGGTTTAATTTTTATTGTATTTACATCATAACTAAACTATCATAACTAACATGACTAAATTAAATACACTTACAGTTTAAAAGTAAAACTCCTGTCAAATAACCATATGATATGATTATGACAAACATTTTTGTATTGTATTCTGCCCATAACAATTATTTGAACAAATACAAAGTCAGTCAACAGACACTTGGCTTATCAGCAC